ATATATATATATATATAAAGAAGAGGTGACTAAAATCGGCGCTACACTTCTGTTTTTTTTTCTTCTTTAATCTGCGTGCGCCTCCGTGCGTGTGTGCGTGGTCTTCAAGGGTTGTACCGTTTCTTGTTGTTCGTCATTTGTTTGTTTCGTCGGGGCACCACAAACGCCAAACAGAACGAAACAACACACGTAGTTGGGAGGTAAACGACGCAAAATGCAGTTTCAACAGCAGCCGCAGTACGGCCAGGAAGAGGTGGATGCGAGACCGCAGGACACCGCCGCCGAGGCCCAGCATGGCGAGCCACGATCGTGCGAGGGGGATTTCTCAGGGGCGCAGGAGTCGCGCGTGTTGCGTCTTCACGGGCTGCCGTACTCCGTGCAGGAGGAGACCATTCGCGCCTTTTTCGCAGACTTCGAACTGGCCGATGAGGATGCCGTCTTGCACTTCACAGATGGGTTGCACCGTGGCACCGGCTTTGTCCGCCTGAAGAAAGCCGAGGACATGGAGGAGGCCATCAGGCGGCTCCACCGCCACCACATTGACTCCAACCGCTACGTAGAGCTCACCGCCTCGAGCGAGGAGGAGCGCCAGCGGACACTGGAACAGCAAGAGCAGGGGTGCAAGACGCAAGTCCTGCGGCTTCGGGGACTGCCGTTTACCTCCACAGAGGAAGACGTGAGGGAGTTTATCAAGTCCGTCCCTGGTGTCACACGCGTGGATATCTGCCGAGACTTGGAAGGCCGCAACACGGGGGATGCGTTTATTCAGCTTTCTACTGAAGAAGATGTTGAGGTGGCAAAGCAGCTTCACAATAAAACAATGGGTTCACGCTATATCGAGGTATTGCCATCCACAATGTATGATCGCGATGCCATTATGCGAGCTGCCAGTCTGCGCGCACGCCGTGATCGTCGTGGACAACGTGCTGGTGAAGGCCCTCAGATGGGGTCCCGCAACCATGGCAATGGCGCTGCTCCTGGTGCAATGCAAATGTTGACACCGAACTTTTTTGACCCATTTCTTGCTGCATACATGGGATACATGCCCCAGATGACCTTTGGGAATGAGTTGCAGCAAAACCCGTACGACCGTAGTGGTATGGCCCAAGGCGCACCGTACGGGGTCGCCGGTGGCCCACAGCCGCTCTTCCCGATGTTTCCCGGCCAGGCACCGATGATGGCGCCGCGTGCGCCGAGCAACCACGTAGTTCGCATCCGCGGTGTGCCGTATTCGGCGACGGAGGAGTCCATAGCTGAGTTCTTCGCGGGGGTGAAGATCCCGCCTCAGGGGGTTCACATGGTGTACAACGAGCAAAACCGGCCCACTGGAGAGGCGTTTGTGGAACTGGAGAATGACTCCGATGTGGTGGCGGCGCTGGAGCGAAACGGAGGCGCCATGGGGAACCGCTACATTGAGGTCTTTCAGAGTAGCGTGGCGGCAATGCAGCGGCTAGGGAGCCCACTCGCGGGGATGAACATGATGCAGTATCCCATGCCGGGGCTGGGCATCATGCCTCAGTCGTACTGCTGATGTAGGTGACAAGCCAGGATATGCCCATCCCGGTTGGCGAGAGCAGCGAAGTGAAACCCGCGCGGCCACAAGTACACACAAAAGCCATAATCAGGGGGGAAGCATCCGTCCGCGCAGGCAGCGTGACTACGTATATATATATATATATATCTAAAGAAGACGGGGGGTCAAACAAGAATAAATGCAGGCCCACCCAAAATCAAGCAGCAGAGTAAAAGAAAAAAAAAAAAAGAACGGGGCCCGAGCGACACACGGCGGACCGAGGAAGAGTGGGATAACGAAGGAAGCAAGCGACA